AAATGAGGGTAACTACTATGAAGGGATAAAATATGACTCTAAAAATGAAAAATAAAAAATGTTTTTTTTCAAAAAGGGACTAATAAGATGTTGGTTGAAAAAGGGAAAAAGAAACATTGAAAAAAAACAGTTAAAAAAATTAACTTTGAAAAACTAATGAATCATGGTAAAAAAGCCACGAATTCTATGTGCAGTATTCTCCCAGCGCTGGAGTTCTCCGGTTCTCCTTGATCGGTAAACTTGGTCTTGGCTTGCTGGCTGTTCGAGCTGATCTTCTGGGCGAGGGGCCTGTTTCCATGGTTCCCAAATGTCTTTGCCGGAGGCAAAATTGCCCCACCCTTTTCAGTCGGGCTAAGCAATCTGCTCGGGTTTGCTCTCAGGGAGCTTTTGTTCCCTGCAAGCTCTCGGCACAGCTTTGGAGGACCAGGGTGAAAATGGTGGCCTCCCAATCTCCTCCTGGAGGAGCTGAGAACTCGGGTCCCCGCTCCTCAGTGCGCCCCCAGAGAAAAGCAGTCACTCCCGTGTCCCCGGTCTCCGGCCGCACTCCGTGTTCACCCGGCCTGTGACCGAGCGTTTCTATCTCTGGCACCCGACCCCGTGTGGAGTCTCCAAACCCAGCAGATCCCTGCGGTGTGCTCCCGCGCCGCTCCTCCTGGGGGAGGAAGGGGAGTCTCCCTGGATCTGCCACTTGTTGGTTCCCTGCTGGAGGAGCAGTGGCCTGACTGGGCCGCGGATCACAGTCTATGGCAACCCCGAGCTGAGAGCCCGCGCCTCGGCTCCGTCTCTGCAGCTGGCTTCCCTGCTCCAATACCTGGGAGCTCTGCTGCACTCAGGCACCCCCGGTCTTTCTGTGACCCCGAGGGTCCTGAGACCACACTGTCCCACGAGGTTTCCACCTCCCGCTTAGCCACTGCAGCGACGTCCCTCAGCGGAGCCGGCTTCTAAAAGGTCCGATTTTGTGCTCCGCGGCTCTATCACTTGCCAGAAGCGGCCGGCGGAGGCCCCTCCCCCGCCGCCTATCCTCCCAAATATCGCCTCGGATTCACTTCTCCACATGTCCTACCTTCCAGTAAGTGGTCGCTTTTCTCTTCAGAGAATTGTTGCTATTCTTTTCTTCGATCTCCTGTTGAGTTCGTAGGTGTTCAGAATGGTTTGATCCCTATTCAGCTGAATTCCTGAGACCAGACGAAATCCAGGTCTCCTACCCCTCTGCCATCTTGCTCCACCCCCTGGGCTTTAAGGGTTTCAGTGCAGATCTCTACAAGGACACGGGGTTGGGGGTGACAGAAATAAGAGCTCTGTAGACACTTTGCACTCCTGGCCTCAGGTATAGGGTACGTGACCCTTTTGTGAGATAGATAAGGAAGGCTTAGTGATCATCTAAACATCCATTTTTATTTCAGGAAGTGGAGCCCACTAGCCCCCCTCTCTTGCCACTCTCCCCCAGCTTAGGGATGAAAATGCTTCTGTCCCTTAGGAAGCTTCTCTCCAGCCAAAAGACTGCAGCTTGGCTAGCCACTGGAGATTTCCTGGGCAGTTTGCCTCTCCGGAGTCTTCCGGGCTGGGAATCACTCAATTTCCTGGCTCTGCCATTCCCAACTTTTCCTCTGGGGGCACTGTCTTTGTGACTTGGCCCCAGTCCTTTGAGGTCTCAAGAACCTATTAAGTGAATGGTCAGTGGCCCCTGGTAAATTTAGATACTGGTGTCAGAAGGCATCACAGGACACCGAAGTTTGAAGAAGTTGGTCCCATCCAGCCAGGTCACCAAGAGACTACATATTTTCTCAAAATTTAAAGCATTCAATTTCTTCCTGCCTAAGAAAAATCTCACAAGGGAGTCTGAGTCATGAACAAAGACAGGAACTGCTGTGGATTTGTTTTCCTTTTTCTTTCTTTTCAGTGGAGAGATGATACAATTAGGTTGGAATAGAATAGGTGATTGTCTCACCAGGTGATTCTTAGGGGAAAGCAGAGATGATGTAGCTTGAAAATAGTCTAGTATCAGCCACAGCTGTGGAGTGGGAGGGACAGTCAGCATTCTCAGCGGGCAATGAAAATCAGTTATTCATTACCACCAACACTTGACAGTACAGTGAACACACGGCATTATATTTATGCTACATAAAATAATGTGATACAATTTTTACGATCCAATTTAATGCAGTAGAGAGTATGGGTTTAATAAAGACAAGGACAATAGAATTAAAATTATAGATCTACATAACAAAGGCTAGTAAAAAGCGAGAGTTGTGCTAATTTGACAGGAAATAGATAGCACTGTCATAAAATCTGTAAAATGGAGGAAAAGTGCTTCACTTTGAATTTGTGTGAGTTAAGTTGACAGGTGCTGATCTGGAAGAGGAAAAAAGCAAAAACCACACAGCCATCTCTTCTGAATTCCCAGGCTGAGCACAAGCTCCTTTCATTTATTCCTTCCTCTGACAGCAAAACAGAGTATCTGCTGTGAAAAGCTTTAATGTTTTAACAACTATCTGACAAACAAGCAAACTTTCCTATGGTTGAGGAAGATTTTTTCAAAGTTGAATTTCACTCCACTTTGGTACCTTGCCTACCTTCTAGATACCCATGGCACCTGGCTGGAAATGGCTAATATAAATATAGAAATATCAGCACCAGTTGTTCCCTGGACCCATGGAGAGTCATGGGCTCAGAGATGAGGGTGATTTCTAAGGACAAAAAAAAATGCATGTGGTGTGTGGGTGGATTTCAATTTTATACCACCCACCACATGTTTATGGAGCTTCCTCTGAGATTCCATGTCATGGCTGGGTTTGGTGGAGAGGCACAAAAGTCTATGACCTGGTCCATGCCCTCAAATAGCTCATAGTCTGTAGGAGATGCAAGTTACTCTGATATGTCGGCTTTCTTTTAAGGGTTCAAAGTTGAGAGTAAATCCTAATGCTCTTTGTTCGTTCTGCTTAAAGGTTTTTCTTAACCGTGTTCCTAGGACCAAGTTCATGGTGGTGTTGGCTCCTCAGGGCTCTTTTTCCTTTGTCCATCAGTCAATTCCCTTGAACTAGCCCCCTTCCTTTCCAGGATAGGAGCAAACCAACCACAGGCTCTCTTTACTCCTCACGGCTACAGGAGTGGATTTGGGGGCATCAAATATCTAACCCATGTCAGGTCATTGTCAAATCCTGAGCACTCTGTAGAGTGGCACTCATTCTCTGCCTCTCAGAATTCTAGGGTCCCCCTAAGGTTTTTTGGAGTGAGCTGCAGGGAGGAGAGAGGAAGAAGGGAGGCTGAGAGGCTGGGCCAAGACTGGAACTATGCCGCCAGCATTCTGCAGATGGCAAGTTATGGGACTTTTCAGTCTCTCTAATCACATGAGCCAATTCCCTATAATAATTCTCTTTCTTCCTCTCTTTATATGTCCTATTGATTCTATTGCCCTGGAGAACCTTGACTGATACATGGACTTAGGTCAGTTTCAGAAGAGGGGAGGGTGCAGAAGCCAGGCTGAACTGAGTTGATGGGAAGTAAGGAAGTGGAGGTGGAAAGTATGAACTTATTTTTTCTGGAATGGATATAAGGAAGTACCTTGGGGGGAGGGGAGGAAAGGTTTTGAGAGAATTTGCTTTGAGAATTCATGACCTCGAGGGTAGAGAGGAAGCTGTCCACAAGTTGAGAAGGAGACACAAGAAGTATGTGTGGGAAGGGCAACTGGTGGCTTGTCATTCACAGGAAGTGGGTGGGGAAGGAGCCAAGCCACCACTGGGCTGTGTGAACTCAGACAAGTCATTTATCCTCTGGAGCCTCCGTGCCTCGACCAATAACCTGGACATCAAAGTGGCCACTCCACTGGCTTGTAAGGAAGAAATGAGATGGGTTGTATGAAGGCAGGTAGGACAGGGCCTGGCACATAGGGGGCAGTCACTCCTCTCTCTCTCCTCCTCTCTCAGCTTCCTGACACCCCCCGCTGTCTTCTGATTGCCACATCTCTGTCTGCACCTGTGGGCGGAGTCAGGTAGATCAAGGTTTAAACCATGACTATACCATGTACTGGCTGTTTGGGCAGGTTATACCATCTACCCAAGCCTCAGTATTGACATGTGTGAAATGGGAATAACATTTTTCCTTCAGGGTTATTTGTGAAGGTTAAATGAGACAGTATATATAAAGCACCTAACAAAGTGCCTAACTTACACAAGATATGGTGGAGAAAAACATAGTTTAAGTGACTCAGGAGAGGCTAAAGGCTTTATTCAGCTGATGTGCATCAGGGAGCACCTGACAATCAGATGACCCTCCAAGTCAAAGCAGGTTTTATGGGGTGAAGAGAAGAGAGGTGTGTGCGTCCTTGTGCCTGGGTGCAGGTAGTCCCTTTCGTCACTTAGTTCTGGGAAGCCTATCCTTGGAACTCTGCCTCCGGTTCAGGGTCCTTCGTGCAACCCTGGGACAGTTCTCTCAAGCAGTTTTTTAAACCTTGCACCTTGTCTGCTCGTCAAGATTCGGGTGGGGAGGAGGTAGCAGGAAAAAAAAAAAAAAGAGGAAAGAGGAAAGGAGCTAAGGCTGAAGCCAGGAAACCGTCATGTCTGTTTTAATTCCTTTATAATATTAAGTAAATGTATTGAAGGAATGAAAAATAAATGCATGTCTGGCCTAGGAGTTATCTTAGTGCTTTTAATGGGGATATGGAGTTATCCAAATGAAAATTCCTCTTACCCATGCTTGTTTTAAAAACTATACAAGACCAGGTATATATATCTCTCAGGTTTCCCCCAAACTTTCTGTCCTACAGAATCACCCTTTAAACCAAAATTGGTCAAGATTCCCTCCTTGGTGATTGCAGGAATTCTGGTCTTCCATGGGGTTTTTCTCAAGAAGATCCCACCCACCCCCCAGTATTTTTGAGTTTTCTCCAAGAATGTTTGTGTGAGCCAGAAATGTGTCCTGATCATTGCTTGTCACCTCTGGCCTCTGGGTCACCCTTTGCCACCTTAAAACCTTTCTGCAGGTTCTCCCTCCTCTTTCTCTAGGACACAGCTAAGCTCAAGTCATACATTTCAACAAAACTTAACAGTTTGATGGAAACAACTTCAACATACAGAAAAAAATCTCAGTCCCTAAGCCACCAAAAGACACGGCTCCCAAACGGAGGTCAGCCCTCTCCTTGGCTTCCTGCTGCCACCTGTTGCAGGCCTCAGTGGTGATCACCCCATGCAAAGAGACATGCTCATGGTCATGCCCTGTGTCCAGATTCAGGCCTCCAACATCCTTTGGGTCCCGCCAGGAAGGTGAGTGAGAAAACCTGTACCTGCCCCACTTCCATTGTCTTCCCTTTCCTCATCAATAGCCCCTCCCTGCACATAAACAGCTATTACTAAACAATATACATTGACTATCTTAAAGTTCTGGAGGTCAGAAATCTGAGTCTCACTGGGCTAAAATTAAGATGTCAGCAGGGCTGCATTCCTTTTGGAGGCGTTAGGGCAGAATCTGTCTTCTTGCCTTTTCCAGCTTCTAGAGACCTCCAGCATTCATTCCTTGGCTTGATGTCTCCTTCCATCCTCAAAGCCAGCCAAGGCCATTTGGGTCTTCCCCACCTCTGACACTGACTTCCTTTTCTGACACGTCTCTTTTTCCCTTGCAAGATCTCTTGTGATTACATGGGCCCACCCAGACTATCTTGGGAAGGTCTCCCATTTCAAGATTTTTTAGCACACCTGCAGAGTTGCTTTTGCCACGTAAGGTCACATATGCTCAGGCTCTGGGGACTAGCCTGTGGACATCTTTGCTGGGGCTAGAGGATGGTGGAACATTAGCATGCCTGTCACAGATGAGTTCTCCTTTACTACTTGAGAAACGGAGACTACCTTTTGGTAACCTTAAAATAGTGATTTGTTCTGAGTACATGTATAAATAACTCGCAATAACGTGGAGACATTTTTGTTGCTGAAATTCTTCACGGGAAGAGAGTTATATTTGTCTGGAAGAAATAAAGCAATAAGGAGTGAGGAGGCCTGAGAGTGTGCCGGGCACAGAAAGCAGGTCAGGGTTGGGTAGAGAAGCAAGACTCATAAGACATTACAAGTAACAAAAGAGAGTTACTATAGTGTGTTCTGTTTTGTTTTGTTTTGTTTTTGCTTTTTGTTTTAAGATTTTATTTATTTATTGGAGAGAGAGAGTGAAAGAGAGAGCCAGAGAGGGGAGAGGAGAATCAGAGGGAGACACAGACTCCCCACTGAGCAGGAAGCCCGATGTGGGGCTCGATCCCAGGGCTCAATCCCGGGACTCCAGGATCATGACCTGAGCCGAAGGCAAGGCAGATGCTTAACCGACTGAGCCACCCAGATGCCCCACTATAGTGTGTTCTAAGAAGTAGAGCCTATTAACCTGAGGACACTTTGCTTCCAGGACGGGGTAGTGGAGTCAGCATGTCAACTGGAGAGCAGGAATGGAGCACAGCTTCGTAGTAGAAGAGACAGAAAATTGAGATCCTCCAAGGGAAACTGAAGATGAAAGGGCTACAGGAATCGCGTACTGGTGGAAAAGGGAGAGAGCAGGAAAGAAAACAAGCAAACAAACTAAACCAAAGAAACAAAAGACCAAACTGTGGCCAGAATGGACAATGGACCTGTGGGATGTGAGAGCCACCTCTTTCTTTTTGGGGATCTCCATTCAAGTCCTCCTTGCTCGCTGATGCCTTGGGGGAGCAGGAGGTGCAAGGAGACGAGAAAAGATGCTGAGTTCTACACCAGGGGTGATTCGTGGTAAAGGCAGGATATCAGGACAAGACAACCAAGGGGCCTGAAGGACTGGGGACAAGGGGGCAGCTACATGTGGTTGCATGTGATTGAGATGTTCACTGCACTGTCTCTCGCTATGGCTTGTACCAGACCCCTGTCTGGTTTCTGTGAGTGATTCACTTCATCTCCCTACTGCCGCCTCTCCAACCCTTGAGCACTCTCTCCCCTCATTAAAATCTGGACACCATCTTCTCTAAATTCCTTAAAGATCCTAGATAGTCCTAATTTGTATTTGTTTATTTACTTTTACACCCATCTCTTCAGCTAGTCTGTAAAGTCAACAAAGGCACTATACTGTTTTTTATCACTACATAGCCAGGACCTAACCTTGAACGTGGCAATCAGAGAGGAACATGGTGTTTGTTGAATGAGTGAATGAGCGGACTTTGGCCTATTTGCCTTCATTTCATTTTTCAGCCTATCTCTAAGTCCCAGTAGGTTCTTCCTTTGTTCATTTCTGATACTTACCTCCTCTTGCCCATACCTGCTGCTTCTGTGTAAAAGGAGGTGCCGAAGATAATGAAATGGGCCAGACCATGGTGAGCAGACATGCCTACCAGAGTGAGCAGCTCCTGGCGATAAGACCTACCTCAAGTAAAACAAAGCATGAGGCACCAAGTGGGAAGAGGGAGTCTAGTGCCTGAGACCCATGCTCCGGGCAGGAAATGTGGTCATGTGCTGCTGTACAATTGGACAGGAGGAAATAGGTGGGCATGCTGACAGGTGTTGGGACCAATGAGATACTGCAGGGGAGGCAAGGGTCTGGAGGACTTGAAGGTTGGGGCCAAAACTAGAGCATGTGTGTCTGTGTGTGTGTACGAACGTATGTGTGCTCACACTAACCTACACAGGGAAAAAGAATAGAGTCAGATGGAAAAAGGGTGGTGGCCACTCAAATAGAATAGCAGCCTTGTCACAGGAAGTGGTCCCCTGAGTCATTGACTCTTGTAAGAACAGGATGGGTCTCTAAGTTGCAGGTAGGCACCCCGTAGTTTCAACTATGGAATAGGTGTGTGTGATGTGAAGAAGAAAGCCAAATAGATTCTTCCTGCACCTAAGTTTGATACCTCCTCAACTCTGGACTAGTAAAACAACTTTAACTTCTTCCCACTCTCATCCCAATTTATCTAGGTCCACCTGCTAAAGCACTGATAGAATCATGGCATTTTTGCTGAACTTCCCATGGCTCCCTATTGCCAGCAAAAGTAGAAACACCTCACCCTGGCCTTCAAAGCTCCATCAGTCTCTGCTCTCTCCCTAGTTTAACCAGATCACTCTGTTTCCATAATATATGTTGTCCTTTGCTGCCTTTGTGCCTTTGATTTGGCTGTTTCCTTGCTCCTGAAGACAGTCCTCATTTTTACTCCTGGAAAAATCAGCTCGGGGCTGTATGAAAAGACACATCTGGTCTTCACCTTCGGTTCTATCCTCTAAGAGCTGTGGTTTTGGCAGATGCTGCCCAACTCCCCAGAGCCTCGCTTTACTCATCAGTGGAATGGGGTTGGTAAGGCCTGTTTGGTAGGGTTGCTGGGACAATTAAGGGTGATGTCTCAGGCTCGTTCCTGGCACACCGTTGGTGCTCAAAACTGTTGCTGTCCCACTCCTCCAAACTGTTTCTGCGGCCGTCTCCTCCTGGCGCCCCTCCACCACCCGTGACCTTGTTTCCCCTCAACCGGCACGGACACGATTGGGACCTCTCTATGGCATTTGCATTTTCTGCGCTTTATTAGGATTGCCTGTGCATTTTTCAATCTCCCTGTTTAGATTTGCACTCTTGAGGACAAAGCCAGAAACCCTTTTTCTCGGTAGTTTCTGCAGAAGTACTATGAAACTGGCGCAGTGACTGGCAGCCATGCTCAAAGTATTTCATAAACATTTGTTAAATTTAATTGAAATGTCCGAAACAACCTGATCCCACTGTGATTCTCACAAATATCAGAATAAGAGCCACCACCATCACAGGCTGTCACGCATTATTGATGCCAAAGTCACCTTCAGCACTCTGGCTTCCCAGTTCTGCGGCAGAGGACAAGGCTGGACACATTTACATTTCAGAAGATCTGCTCTCTCTCCCCATCAGCCTGTCCTGGCCCCAGCGAGCTTCGAGCTTCCCTCCACATTGCCAGTCACCCAACCAAAGTTCTTGTGCTTCTCTCTCACAGAAGCTCTGGCAGGGATACCGGCCTTTCGATGCAACTCCAGCTCAAGATATATTCTTTGTTCTTCCACATCCTTCGTGTTTCCAAAAAGCAAAACTCTAGCATTAAGTGCAGACGCAGAGGAGGGAAACTGTTTTCTAAAAGAAGACATACATTTGGCATGAAAAAAAAAATGTCTGGGCAAAAGAAGTATAGAAAATCTGGGTGTGGAAGTAGCTGGACTTTCTGTGAGAAGACACAGAGAGAGTCCTCTTTTATTTTTAGTTCTTAACTTGATAAAAAGGTTGAGGCTTGTGCTGTCAACGGGTAGGTAGGCCTGTGATATTTAAGTAGCTGATTCCGTGTACTTGGACAGGTGCACCACAATTTTGGCAGTTAAAAGCGCATCTTCTTCCTCCTCTCTCACTGAATGTTGATGTTAGATTGGTGTGTTCTGGGAACATCCTGAAGCTACCCTCAGAGAGCTAAGGATTTTCAGAGTCTTTTTAGAATATAAAGCATACCTTAAATTGATTTACTTACAAAATGACATATTTCTGAGAGGACTGAACAGTCAACTAGAGATATTTCAAGTTGAGTTGTGGGAAAACCCACAGTCTTTTTCCTCATATGTATTATTCTTGCCCAGTTCCTATCCGGCCCTCACTAGTCAAGCCACCGTATCTTTGCAGATACTGTTCCCTCTGCTTAGAATGCTTCCCATCCATGTACTGGTGGGGATAAGGTCATCTTTGGCCAAGGTCAAATGTTATCTTTCTAATTGCCCCTAATTTTGTTCCCACATAATTTGACATATCTCTTTCTAGTGCTGCTTTTTACATTGCTACAATTATTTGTTTCTATGCCTGCCTCTTTTTCTATATTGTGAATCCTTCAGTGATGACAGAGATAATTTTCTTTTCTAACACTATTTTCCTGCTTCTCTTTGTATCCCATGACCTGATAGAAATTAAAACAAAACACAATCTGCAGGTCAATCTCAAGGAACTGGCAGTTATGAATACAAACAGAACAGCTTAAAATTCTCTTCTACAGGGGTGCCTAGGTGGCCCAGTCGGTTAAGCGTCTGCGTTTGGCTCAGGTCATGAGCCTCGAGTCCTGGGATGGAGCCTCACATTGGGCTCCCTGCTCAGTGAGGAGTCTGCTTCTCCCTCTGCCTCTGCCCCTCCTAGCTGGTTCTCTCTCTCTCAAATAAATAAAATCTTAAAAAAATTACCATGATTAGAATCATAGAAAACTGTAAAAAGAAAAAAAAGTAACATGGGTACTCTGGAAGATTATGATGGTGAAACACAAGGTGGATACAATCCAAACATACACAGTACCTGAACACAAAGTGCCGAAAGAGATGTCAGGAATGCTTCCTACCTCCCCCACCATCGCCTGATGGATTTTATAAAAACAAGAGATAAACACTGATAGTATTCCGTCATACCCTTCCCCTCCTCCATTACTTACTCTTGGTTCTCTTAGAAACTACCCTTTTCCACTTACATTATTTCTACTCATCTCCAAAATAGGTGATTGAGATAATAGTTATAGTTTATATGCAATAGCTGGTTTTTCTGCTCATTATTTATGTATTTCTATAGCCAAAATTTCTCCTTTTAACACTCATCTTAAGGCCCTCTGATGATTTCAACAGAATAACTATTTGAGTTATATAGTTCCTAAACATTTTCAAGTCTTAGAATATCTTCCATGAGAAAATAATAGGTTGAATGGACATAGCCATCTGGTATCACTTTCTTTCTTTCAAAATTCTGAAAATAGAATTCATTATCTTTTGATGCTCCTATAAGTTATAATAGAAGAATATGAAATTATCCTAATTGGGGCCCAGTGGGATTTTTTTCTGTGGGTAGTACCTCTTGAAGAGATAAATGCGTAGCTGAGAGATGGGAGATTAATATTGTGAAATAGCTCTATGTCCCCCAAATCCTATGTCCCATCTGCCCAATTCCCACCCCCACGTTACCACAAGAAGTGACTATTAAAATACCTAGCTAATAGACATAACACTGGAAGAAATGACTTATGCACCAACAAGGAAACATAAATATATATTCTTATTTCCTCTTTTTACAAACAGGTAGAAGGAGATGGAGTGAAGATATATTTCAATTTGCTTGGAATGAAAGCAGGGTACAGAAGACACAAAAAGAGGTATATTAGCTCTCAGATTAAGCTAATTAATGATCAATGAGAAAGCATGAAGGAAGTAAGAAAATTCAAAAAGGCTGTAATTCCTTATCTGCCACAAAAGAAAGTCTAAAGTTATGCTGGAATAGATACATATAAATTGATGGCGATAGTACATGGAATATTTATGGAAGTTCTGAAGTTAATGACGAGTAACGCAAAAACAGTGTTTACCTTCTAAATCATACTAGAATAAAACAACTAATATTGCTCGTACATCAAAAGTTCATAATATAAAAGGGATCTCAAGGAAAAATAATGTTTAAAAGCATGAACTAGGATGACAGACCTGGTATTGTGCTGGTCATCATGCTATCTGCGTTGAAATAGTGGTTTGATAAATTACAGTTTATTGGTCCCTTAGAAGGTGGTGAAGATAAAGGGAATGATCTTTGTAATGACCGAGGGGTGATGAGAAAAAGCAATTAAGATGTGAAGTTAAGTGAAAAGCTGATAAATGCATTGGGATTGCAGCTATGAAATAAGTCTGGACAGGTGGAGGGCCATGTGGCAGGGTGGCAGTGTTGAAATTACAGGATTTATTTTTGTTATTGTTTTTCTTAATGAAAACTCCTCCTCATTTTTGCTTTTGTATTACCTTTCCATATGTTAAATAAAAAATTATAGTATCAGTGGTTGTAATCTAGGAGACAGTCTTAAGATACATTTTTAGAAGGTTAAAAATCTCTTCCCTCTGCCCTCCATTCTAATCCTCCTGAGATGATCAACACTAACAAGCTGTTGTGTATTTTGCCACAATGTCCTTTATGCTCAAACAGAAACACATATTTAGGACTTTTCTGGTTGGTGTTGGTGTTTGTTTTCATAGAAATGGAACTGTACTATAAATGTAACTCTGCAAATTGCTTTTCGTACTTAACAATACACCATGGGCAACTAGAGATAGGTTGACTTCAGTCTTTTAAAGAGCCACATAATAACTTGTGCTATGAATACATTACAGTTGAGTCAGGAACATTCCTTATTTCTGGGCATTTAGGTTCTTCCCAGGTTTTTGCTTCTGTACACCATGATGCAATAAATCTCTTGGTAGATGTACCCTTATATACTGGGGCTTTTGTTTCTGTTAGGCAGATTTTCCAAATGGCATTTCTGGACAGTTGGTTCTATTGTCTATTTAAAAAGAAGGAACTGAGAGAAAAGTGTGGTTTTTTTGTAAATTCATGCATATTTACTTTTGTCCTGCTTTTCTGAGATGATCATTCTTTGTAGGACCAAAGATAAAAGTTTGAATGTGGCTTCTTCTAGGCCCCATCCTGGTCCATTCTGGATGGCATTTTAGTTCAGAAGATGGGTCCACCTGCATTTTGAGGGAGAAAAGAAGGGTAATAGGGGGAGTCAGAGAAGAATTGACCAGGGCCAAAGGAGAAGAGAATTTATAGAAAGACCGGTGGTCAACAGAGTTAAATGCTGCTGAGACACAGAGGAGAATCATTTTTTATTGACGGAGAGAAAGGCTGTTCGTGAAATTTCATATGTATCTTTCCTGGGCATGAGGTAAGATGGTACTTCTTTCATTCTTTTGATGTTTTTCCCTATCGCAGTGACTGGTGCCATTCTGGATATGGAGACTCGATAAGCCAGAGTCCTTGAGTGAGGACAACATATGGCAGAGCCCCCTTCCCTCCTAACCAATGTGGGATGGACGCATGTGGCACAGGTGAGTTAGAAGCCGGATTGTTTTAAGCCGCTAAGGTTTTAGGGTTGTTTGTCGCTACAGCATAACTTAGCCTATCCTGACTGATACCTAGAAAAAAAAGGTTCATTTGAGAAATACTGAAGTCTGACCTCAAGGGGATAAAGAGTAATCAAATTGTAGCTCAGGGGGGCTAGAGAGTGGGTGTGTAGTAAGGAAGTGTAAGTAGCAAGTGTTAAATTCCTCTCAAGGTTGCTTAGGGGCTAGCAGAATGCAGTTCGGCCAGTTAGTTAAATAACTGCTCTTTGGGGAAATCTAGGAATAATTCTAGAACACTTTTAAAATAAACCTAGAAACATTAATTGCATAAATAATGACAAAACCCAAGACACACACTGTAGAATTCTTTATATATATACGTTAAGATAACAGCAGCTTTTATGCATCTCAAAGCTTAATGAAGATCTAAGAATATCACCCAATAAATTCCTCTGTTTATTTCTAGGAAAAAAAATTTGTTTTTCTGGATGAAATACATTTCCTTTTATTAGTTAATGAGAATAATGTCAACATCCCTACAAAACCCTTGTTCCTGCTCTCTTCTTATCTTTACTTCCAGGGGTTTGAAAGATTATCCTTTACCTTGATGGTTTGGCACCGTCTCTGCTCTCAGGGACTAGCTCGTGGAACAGAGGAGCTTTAGGCCTGGGGCTGTGTTGGAAGATCTGGAGGACCTAGACAACTCAGGGGGGTGAATGCAGTAAAGGATCTTATTGATTATGGCCAAGACAACCTGGTACAGTCCATAATTGGAAAAGACCCATCAGAAATTCTACAGGAGCAACAGAATAGAGGAAGGGAGTGTGTGTGTGCATATGTGAGTGCATGTGTAACTATTTTACTGATGGTTCTTTTACGACTAGTAAAATCCAGCACTATCATGAGAATCATTCAGCTGTTAAATAGTCCAAAAGTAGAAAACAATGTTGGTAAGACCCTGGTTCCCAGCAGATAAGACCAGAACTGTCTACTACACAGGATGAGAGTTTTTGAAACCGCAAGTCACATACCTTTAGGGGATTGTGAAATTGATTTAGAGCATCTTGATCAAGTTTTTTAAAAATAAGATAAAATGGAATAGGAAAATCAACATGCATCCCATGTCTTAAGGGTAAGGTTTTGTTTTTGTTTGTTTTTAAATGAAACTTTTGTTTCTCTGTGTGTGTGTGTGTGTGTGTGTGTGTGTGTGTGTGTGTGTGTCCTTGGTTATGATCAACTCTGATCGACAAGGTATTTCTTACTGTGGGTTCTGGGTCAAAACAATTTGAAACCTCTGGACTAGAGACTATAGGGAGCCTAAATTTATTCTCTGAGGACAGGGGTAGACCAGCACGACACTGAAAAACCCAAAGGTGGTGATAGCAAAAGACGGGCAAAAACTGGACATTGTTGAGAAAAGAGCTCCTTAGAAAGCTAATGTCGGTGGTACCACTGAGTGAACCGGGGCTTCCCAAGCATGCAGACAAGAGGTTTAAATGAGTGTGCACTGGCATGGCTGAACACAGTATGTTAGAGTCAATAAATGCTTAATTTGGTATACCATGTCTGTAGCAATTTGTATTAAATCCCTCTCCTTGATCTTGGATCAATTTCTTCCTGCATAATAAACCAGAGGGATAATCTGAGAGAGCAGCTGAAGGTCAAACCAAAGGAGTGGTGCCAAACAGAAGGGCCTGAAGTGAGGTGGATGAGAAGCGAGAACGGGACTGACAGTGAGGTGGGAAGCCCAGACAATTCGTCAGGAGCAGGGGGTCCCTAGCAGAGACCCGGCGGTGTTGAAGACCTGTTTTTAGGTGATTCTGCTGCTCAGTGTGAGGGCAAATCTGAGAGATGAAAGTACCCAGGAGGGATCAAATATCTTTTCCTTTGTTACACGACTTTTTGGGTTTTGTTATTTTATTTTAGGATGAGAGTACTTTTGAATCTTTCATTAAAAGCCACGTTGAATTCTTTCCTAAACCAGTGGGATGTAAGTGATAAATAAATAAATGGAGATGGGTAAGACTGGTGCTCATTTTATTTTGTTTTAGGTCCTATCCTCTTGTTTATACTACCCTGTGGCAAGTTTATAGGCTGTGCCTTTTTTCCTATCCATAGAAGTTTTAGAGAGCATCCAACATGCCCCGTGATGACTGTACTTGGGATCCACAGATCCTTTAAGCTGTCATAACAGTTTTTATTAAATCGTTACCTTCCATCTTTTTAATTTTAGTTGCAAGCATAATTTTCTGACCTCTGAAGACTGTTGCAGCCGTAGAACCAGAATCATCACAGTACTGAAATGTTTTTTGTTTTTTGTTTTTTGTTTTGCCCTTCTATTTTCAACACTTTGGCTGTGACTGGCATGCTGCAAATATCATCTTGCCATCCAGACTGAAAGTGTAATTCTGGGTGTGGACAGTGTCCCCACCATTCAATTGCTGATATAGAATTCTTTTTAGGCTATTGTCAGTGATAGAGGGCAAAACATGCGTTTGTTTGAACATTTATCACTTTCTCCTTTGTTCCCAGGAAGATTATAAGGACGAAAAGATCTTCATTGGGAGAGTAGCATATTTTATTTAACCTAACACTGTTTAATAAATAGGAACACATTTAAAGCAAGTTATAACATAGAACAAGATTTTTTTTTAAATGTGAACATAAATCCTTATTAAAAAATGATTAACCTTTGTCGCGATGTTAATGGCCTTCGGTCACTACTTAGCTACACTCTTTCATTTATTTCATTGTTTATTTATCTGTTTATTTATTTACTACGTGCGGAGAAGACCTGTCTGCAAAGATTCACCCTTTGGCCCACTGCAGCCTCTAATGAGATCGGGGGGCTGTTACTGCACTTGTCAGTTTGCATCGTAGTCACTTGTCCTCATGCATGCTTAGCTCAGATGAACTCTGAAACTCAGATTTTCCCCTACTATACCACACTGCTAATTTTTTAAAGGATCCATGCTCATCTTGCCTGATGAATGTTTAAAACCTGTAGGAAAAAAAATAAAATCAATTTTGAAATCCAAACAGATTCATCTTAAATGCTATTTTTCCATTTCGTTAACATTCACATATATATTTTGATAAAAGACAGAAAATAAGGAAAAGAAAAAGCTGTACGCCTGTCCTGCCTGTCCATGCCCCCGCCTCCTTCCCCCAAGGAGCCAATAGAAATTTTCTTTAAGGGAGGTTGGTTTACATTTGGAGACAGTAGAAGCAAACTTGAAAGATAACACGGTTTACATGTGTGCTGGGATTCCTAATCACCCCTTCCTTGGCTGGCTTGAAAAATTAAACATGCCGTGTCCTATGTACAACCAGACGTGCATGGCTCCTCATTGCTTTGAACAGTTCCAGAACCTTAGTAATTTGAGTTTATCTCAAAAATTACTGAACTGCACGGCAAGAAATTAAACTAAAAATTATGTTCATCCATCACCTTTTATGAGCCATGGAAAACTACATAGGGAATAAATCTTTGCAAGCAAGACAGTTTCTGTTATAAGTGGTTCTTCTCACTTCAAATGCATTAATATTCAAAACCATAACCTGTCGCGTGCTCAGCTTTGTGTGAGAAGGGGAACAAATCAATCCCCTCCTTCTGTTTACTGTGTTGATTAACACCGTTCTCTCTGTGCCTGGGGTCTGGGAAGTTACGCTCTTTCTCCCTTAAAGGGGCAGGCACCCAGGAAGCCCAGAAGAGAGGGAGGGAATCAGCACTTATCCTGAGCCTACTGTGGGTCCATGCTCAACGATCCTAACAGTTCCAAGAGGGTTTTGTGATCCTCACTTTCTGGCAGAGGAAAATAAAGCTCAGAGAGCCTGTGAAACTCTGGCAAGCTGACATGGCTAGTCAGTGTGAGCCAGGTCTGACTCGGGCTCAGTCTAACTCAACACACTTCTTGGATGCCTCCATGACACTCCTCAAAAAGCAATCGAAGGAAGCAAGAAAATGATGCCTCAAGCAACTGGAGCCTTTCAAGTGTCTCCAGGGTGGAGAATAGAGAGCCCTGCCTACGGCCAATTCCTAAAGACCGCTCCTCCACTCCATTCACAGGTGGCCCAGAAGTCACAGCAAACTGTTCACGCTCTGTGTGATCGTCTGGCTTGTGGGTGGAAGGTGCCACGAGTGACTTGGGCCATGGGTCCCCACACAGCCCTCTTGAGGGTATGGGAAGCTCTCATCTCAAATCGTTCTGAAGCAATGCATTCCTGCCCGGATGACATCGTTATTCCCTCGGTGTCTGGCAGTCGGTCCCCACTCCCCAACCTCCAGAGAGTTATCAGAGTCAGAATAAATGTCTTTCAAGCAGAAGCCCACTCTCTTGACCCTTTGCAGAAAGTCATCTTGCAGTCTCCCCAGTTGGCGACCGACCGAAGGGCCCTGCTACCTCTTGCCCGCTCTCTGCTTGGCCCCTAGGCACTGACTGGTGCTCATGGGATGAAACCAGAGGGCAATTCTCCGCAGCTGTCCCGAGTTGAAGGCTGTTTACGCAGCAGCCTTAGTTGGTGTCCGTGTCTCACCGCAGAGAACAGTGTCAAACCTTCTCCACGATCAAGATGCCCTCTTTGTAAACGACCAAAACAGTAACTGTGTTCCTGGCCCATTACAGAGGGCCTCGGATGCCTGGTCACCTACTGACCCTGCAGAACAGCAGGTCCCCACCATACGATGCCCTGTGACAGCTTTTGTAGAAAGTGTCCCATTGTGAACGACACAGCCCAGCATCCCCTGTTGGGTTCACAGTGCCCACTCCATAGACTCCCTAACATCCCATAGCTCCCCAGCCCCTGGTGCGTCCACTGCACCCACTTAGCCAATCAGCTTCCCTGCCTCTGCCCATCAGCAGCTCAGCCTTCCCGGAGAAAAAGCACACCGCCTCGCCAAATGGTGCCATAGACGATGCATCTCGAGCTACGCTTAGCAGCACCTCAGTCATGGCTGGGTGATTCCCCATCACAGTCCCACCCCTCCCGGACCATCCTCAAGCTCTTTCACTGGCCCTGGGGTTGGTGATCATTCCTATCCTCTCTCCCTAAATCCAGTTCTTTTTTTTTTCCCCTTTTTAAAGATTTTTTTCTTTCATTCATGAGAGAGGCAGAGGGAGAAGCAGGCTCCCCGAGGATCAGGGAGCCCGACGTGGGACTCGATCCCAAGATCCCGGGATCACAACCTGAGCTGAAGGCAGACGCCCAACCAACTGAGCCACCAGGGCACCCCCTAACTCCAGTTCTTGCAGCAGGCTTCTGAATTAATGATTCAGAGCTCCTGGAAGGTAGGGGCTGGGATTTGTTTACATTCGTGGTAATGATATGTTGAATAAATGATGTAAATAAGCAAACAGGATCATGTTTAACCTGGGGAACATGGCACAGTCGGTTAAGCGGCCAACTCCTGGTTTCAGCTGAGGTCAAGATCTCAAGGTCGTCAGATCGAGCCCCGTGTCTGGCTCCACACTCAGCGGGGAGTCTGCTTGGGATTCTCTCTCTCCCTCTTCCTCTGCTCCTCCCACTCATGCTCTCTCTCTCTCTCCCTCTCTCTCTTTCTCCCTCAAATAAATAAATACATCTTTAACAAAACTGTTTAACCTGGGTCTCCACAAACCGAGTCCTCTCTCCTGAGAATCTTAAGGAGAAGGGAGGGAGACAAAGTTAAATTGGACACTAACTGATTTTTTTTTAAGCCCCGAGATCAGCACAGCCCCATATATTATCTCATGTAATGCTCACTCAAGTCTGCGAGGTAGATACCATTCTTTCCACTTTTCAGGTACAAAAAAGTAAGTGGTCCAGGTTTGCCTAACTCTGCAGCTCAAGTGTTTTTGCTATTTGACTTCCCACCTGCCCTTCTACCTTCTGCCTTTCTCTCTTCAAATTCTCTAATAACCCAGGGAGCTTACGAACCACTGGTGTCGGTGGAAGCTCCTTGGGAGGAGGCACCATTCGAGTTGGTCTCCGCAGACAGCGAGATGAAGAGATCCCTCAAGCTTTCACACTCTCTGATAATTGGGCAAAGAAGACAGGAGGGGGCTGAGCTGCATATTAGTTTGAACATATTTGATTTTGATTGCAAGTGACAGATACCCAACTTCAAACAGAGAAAGGA